ACAACTGGAAAATTCTGTTTCATTTCATGTGATCCTTTCTGAACTGAAATCACAACATGGGTTTCATCTGAAACAGTAGAATATTGTTCAAACATCTTATTCACACATCTTAACACATCTTTAAAGAAAGATTTAAAACAAACCAGTTAGTCCCTTTTAGAACCTGATTTTTTCATAATTGTTTTGCTGAAAATCACAAAACGTTTGGGATTCCTGCTTGCTTCCTGCTGATGGTCTATGTATTCAGTTGAAAATGAGAACATTTCTATTTTTCATGGCAGTTGTGCAAACATTTGATTAAAATGCACTAATTAATCAGATTAAATATTCAAAGCAGTCCTCTGTAATTTCCGCTTTGTTCCCCCCTCATATTTAACCACATGGCTATGGTATGCTATAAACATCATTATAACCCGAGTAACACGATCCAGCTGATGAAATATCACCGAATATAAATTGTACACGTATAACACTCACAAAAGTAAAGAGTTATAGACCTTGTACAATTCTAGTCATGCATTGCGATGAGTTCCAACAAAGTTTATATTAGTTTTACATGTGTACACTTAGAAAAAAAGGTTTCAGGAATATGTAAAACTGAATGAGTTTTCCTTGTCGAGAATAGCAATGCTCCATAACATGTCAGTGACTATGGTTGTCTGTGTCATCAGTTTTCTAAGCAACTGTACCATATTTTAATCTGTTACGTTCTCCGCTTCACTAAGACTCCCACTGTACTGTAAAATTTAAAAATAAATCATTAATAATTTTTATAGAAGTATATTTTCTATCAATCACACATTTTTTAATTCTCACCTTTTCAATATTAGCCATCCAACAATAGAAAATTCAAATAGAAATTGTGAATATGATACATGTTTCCTTCCTGCCATTTGTTTTTAACACTTTTTCTATTTTAAGCAGGCAAATACTGTAAAGGTGAGAAATAAAAAATGTGTGAAATCTGTGATTGTCATACTCCTATAAACCATGATTTTATCTAACAGGTTGAAATATGGTGCAAAAACTAATGATATGACACAGACCACCACTGGGAAAGTGGAAGACGTCATCTTTAACAGTGTCACTGTTGAAACATTGAATTTCCTAAAAAGGAATCACAGAATACTAGTAAGCTCTTGTTCCAAATGGTTGTGACACAAATTGTGAAAACAAATTTCATTTACATAATTTACTATCAGAGATCTGTGTCATTGTTTCTTTTTGAAACAGCCAGCTAAAAGAAAGTAGACACATGAAAACTGATTTGACAACAAAATTACAAACATTACCAAAGCATTATTATGCCGAAAATAGTCACCAAAACACAGATAACTTAAGATCCAAAGCACAGCTGTGTTCCCCATTTCACCATTGAGTAACCATTCCTTGTTGGCTTCAACTGTACTCACCATCAAAGATGGGTGTATACTTTTGTTTGCACAGTCCAGTGGCTTCGAACAGACCTAAACACTATAATGATCAGACTTCCAAATGAATAGCATTAATTTACTGTTAATTTGGGATTACTATTGTTTGTTAAAACTTGCTACCATCTAACTGGCTTTCATGAAAACTAATCACAAGAATGACTTGAGTATACACATAGCAGAGTATTCACCAGGTGTTTATGTACAAGTTTTGGCACATGTTGGCTAGGACCTGTTCACGGGATGTTTATGCAATATACACGCTTTGTACAAAGTCAATCATACGTAATTTATAACATCTACAATTAAATAGATGCTTGGCAGGTATTATATAGCAGTGTTCATATCATACCCCATATCAACCTGAGACACCCATATTATCAGTCCTCAGGCTGATATGAGGGTCTTGTTTTATCATATGGATGATGTAAAGACTATTTTAAATTACCTGTTTATTTTATATAGTCTGACCATAATATCAGATTGTGAAATGTGCCCATTTACAAGTGAATGCAATTGCCAGGGGAAAACAGACAAGACATTGCCAGCGGAAACAGAGTTGACAATGAACTAAGGGAGGTAACTACAATGTCATAGCACAAGTCACTCAGAATGCATTGACAGCAGTCTGGTAAGGGACTGTTCATAATTTATGGCTGGTGCGTGATTTTAAGGGGGGATCACCCATTTTGTTCTGGGTAGCTAGGGGGGCTCATCAATTTTGTACACACGTACTAGGAGGGGGGGGGTTCAGCAATTTTGTACATAACAATATGTTTAAAATTATGCTTAGAAATTATGGCAAGGGGAAGGGGGTCATTGATTTTGTACATGACATGCAGGGGGATCGCTTATGTTGTACATAAATTTTAGGGGTGGGGGGTGTCATTCACATTGTACATGCTTCTCCATAAAAATCATCATCACCACCCCTAGCCATAAATTATGAATGGTCCCTAACGGATGTTAGTCCCCCCTTATAACAAAATGGCTCATATCACTGGGCTGTATATGATGAATGTGGGTATCCTTCATCAAGCACCTGTTCAGTGGATATACAATGGACTATGTTATTGTGAATGCATCACAGTAATAGTGATTGTACATAAGTATAATCTTCATGGTAAAACTGTAAACAAAGGGACTTGTATCAACAGTAAAGCATGATGAATCTGTATCAGTATAATTTGGAACATCACAGTCTATGATGACAGAGACAACTAATATGATTACTGTTTTCTTTTTAAATCCAGTAGTCAAGAGAGAAACCTATTCTGGAAATAAACCACAAAGATTTTACAGGCTATATCATGGTATATTACCGGTAATAACACTGGAACCATGTGTGGTGTAGGACGTGTATCCCCCTTCCATAATAGTTACTCATTTGTTTGTGCGAGACCCGGAGACCATGCATGAAAGTATATAGTCTCTACTTGAACACATTGTTTGGTAGCACACTGAGTTCCATTGCCTACGAACAACTGTAATAGCTGATATAATAGTTTATAAAAAAATTCAACATAAACAGTTAATGCAAAAATATTTCGCTAAATAAATATATTTTAAAAAGAGGCATTATGGAGAATTGAATCAAGACCTTTCTGTACCTCAGATTTATCTTCAGAAGAAAGGGCAAAGTAAAAAACCCAATACATTCTTCAGTAAAGATAATGATATGCCCTATGAGGATACATATGGCTTGTATTACACAACACTGTATCACCCAGCTAGTTTGTTCAAGTTGGATTTAATAGTGTGGTATGTATTTTAATGCCCCATTTGTTGATGTCTCCTGTGGTATTTACCGTATGTGTCTTATATATATGACAGATTTGTACACATGACATCTATTGAGGCATTTGTGTCCTGGAAGTATCAAGCAAAATCAGCTTTTTAACCATGGCTGACTACAGTGGCCATCTTGAAAACTGGATCGGAATTGTGTATACACAACATGTCAGCTTAATAAATTAAGAACTTTGAGAGGAACTTGCTTGTTTGTACTGATATGTTTGACTGTACATCGTTATGACAACATCTGCTCTCTGATATAAATCCAGAAGGTGCAGTTCATGTGATATGTGATATTTTCTCTTACCACACTCTGTATGAGTAAATTATCTACATGCCTATTCCGTGCACACATTTGTTGGGACACTTACTCAATTGGCACATGGCCTAGGCACTTACTCATTGTGCACATTATGTTCACACCCTTTTTGTTTGGCACATTGGGTTAAAACATTGCACAGGATAAACAATTGAGACAAATAATATCTTGAGCATTGGGTAGAAATACTATCTTGGGAGTAAGTTTAGATACATGCTCTTGTGTATGGGATTACAAATTATTTGTCAAACCCATTGTGTTCATTGTGATCAGTCCTGTCCGGCTGCGTCAGTCCATACTCTACAGTGGCTACTAATGTCCAGCTGTGTCAGCTGCACAACCTGTGTGTGAAATATGCATTAAAAATCCCTGTGCAGGGCACATCCAGTCACTCTGGGCACATTTGGCACATGCTTTTCTTCCATCTTGTGTCAGTTCCCTTCCAGGGCATGTTGAAGAGACTGTATTGGACTCATACTAATGGGACAGGTATGAATGTTGAGTATTGCACCTGTCATTTGACATGTAGGCTATGCTCTACCAATGATATTCCCTTAGACTGCATTGCGACCTTTTAGTCATAACCCTTCTCAGGCACATTGTGGATGAGGTGTGTTCTTGATGTTCATCTTTTGAGGAACATTCAAAATCCTGAATATCTTTCTGCTTGGGGTCATTCAACATCCTGAAAACACCCAAACATATCTACAAAGTCCTAAGTAACATTTCAGCAGCTTATTTTAACAGTCCCAGCATATGTTCCCAGCACTGAAAGACGTTCCCTTGAGCACACATTCACAGTCCTAAGGCTTTCATTCACAGTCCTAGATGGTGTTTTGCCAAATATCCTAAGGCACACATTCACAGTCCTAGATGGAATTGTGCCCAGAAATGCTAAGGCACACATTCACAGTTCTAGATGGTGTTGTGCCCAGAAATCCTAAGGCACACATTCACAGTCCGAGATGGTGTTGTGCCCAGAAATCCTAAGGTACACATTCACAGTCCTAGATGGTATTGTGCCCAGAAATCCTAAGGCACACATTCACAGTCCTAGATGGTGTTGTGCCCAGAAATCCTAAGTCACACATTCACAGTCCTAGATGGTATTGTGCCCAGAAATCCTAAGGCACACATTCACAGTCCTAGATGGTATTGTGCCCAGAAATCCTAAGGCACACATTCACAGTCCTAGATGGTGTTGTGCCCAGAAATCCTAAGGCACACATTCACAGTCCTAGATGGTGTTGTGCCCAGAAATCCTAAGGCACACATTCACAGTCCTAGATGGTGTTGTGCCCAGAAATCCTAAGGCACACATTCACAGTCCTAGATGGTGTTGTGCCCAGAAATCCTCAGGAAATTCACTGTACTGATGTTTCCCTTGCACTTCCACATTCCTAAAGTTGTTCAGTCCTGTGGAACACTTCTCAGGGCACTGCTTTAGGAGCACAATTTTAATGCACACTGTGTAAGGTCATTGATGATGAGGCTGTGGAAATGGCAGGGCTGCTCAGCACTGAAGCGTACTCATTCAGAGCCTGAAACATAAAATATGTTTATAAAGATGTTTCAGTAAAGATGGCCTAATGTCAGGGTGTCAGGGTGTCTGGACTGACAGAAGAATCTGGACTGATAGACAAATCTGGAAAAATCTGGACTGTCAGGATGTCTGGGCTGATAGAAAAATCTGGTCTGACAGGGTGTCTGGGCTGATAGCAAAATCTGGTCTGACAGGGTGTCTGGTCTGATAGAAAAATCTGGTCTGACAGGGTGTCTGGGGTGATAGAAAAATCTGGACTGACAGGGTGTCTGGGCTGATAGAAAAATCTGGACTGACAGGGTATCTGGGCAGACGGAAAAATCTGGACTGACAGGGTATCTGGGCTGACGGAAAAATCTGGTCTGACAGGGTGTCTTGGCTGACAGAAAAATCTGGTCTGACAGGGTATTTAGGCTGACAGAAAAATCTGGTCTGACAGGGTGTCTGGACTGATAGAAAAATCTGGACTGACAGGGTATCTGGGCTGACGGAAAAATCTGGTCTGACAGGGTATCTGGGCTGACAGAAAAATCTGGTCTGACAGGTATCTGGACTGACAGAAAAATCTGGTCTGACAGGTATCTGGACTGACAGAAAAATCTGGTCTGACAGGTATCTGGACTGACAGAAAAATCTGGTCTGACAGGTATATGGACTGACAGAAAAATCTGGACTGACAGGGTGTCTGGGCTGACAGAAAAATCTGGTCTGACAGGGTATCTGGACTGACAGAAAAATCTGGACTGACAGGGTGTCTGGGCTCACAGCAAAATCTGGACTGACAGGTAAATGGATTGACAGGGAGTCTGAACTGACAGGGTGTCTGGACTGACAAGTATCTGGATTGACAGGGTGTCCTCACTGATAAGGAGTCTGGACTGACAGGTGTCTGGATTGACAGGGTGTCTGGACTGATAGGGAGTCTGGACTGACAGGGTGTCTGGACTGACAGGCATCTGGACTGATAGGTGTCTGGACTGACAGGGTGTCTGGACTGATAGGGAGTCTGGACTGACAGGCATCTGGACTGACAGGTGTCTGGACTGACAGGGTGTCTGGACTGATAGGGTATCAGATTTAGTAGAATCATAGAATATACTTTGATACATAACTTAATAGGTTCACATACAGGGGAATTCAATCCCTGAGGCACCCATGGCCTTGGATCCAGATTTGTACTTTGCCAGCTCAGGTTGTTCACAAACAACAATATGTCTAACAGCAATTGCTGCACAGTGAATTGAAACAGCAACACTGAATTGTTCTGGAACATCCTAGTATGCATACTCAGCATTTAATGCACATCTGTTGTATGTAGAGTGTTGCTCAGCCAGCTGCCAGGCCATTGTTTGTACAAGTATCACAACTCATGTTTATTCCATGAACGGGTATCCAATGTGTCTAGTCACTTGGAAATGTTTGCCTAATGGCCAGGAATTGAAAACAGGAAAGCTTGGGTTGGACACAAAATGAAACAAATTACATAGTGATGATTTAACCATTATGATTGTGCCTTCTGTGAATGAAGATGATTTAACCATTATGATTGTGCCTTCTGTGAATGAAAAAATATTTCAATAAAAAATTCAATATTTCCACTACAATTCCACCTCGTATGAGAGCTAACTGTAAAATAATTATTTTGAACATCTGGTTGGTTCATGAATCTCCACATAGCTCACAGTTATTACAAATACACTCCTTAGTTAGACGAGATCACCCGGATGTTCAGTCAGGCAGAGAGACCTCTACAGTAATAACAAAGCTGGCTGGCAATATGACAGATGTATATGAATTATTGGTAACAATATACAGGACACATTAATATTGCTGCAAAACATACTGACTGAAAACAGATCTCAACAAACCAAATGACTGTGAAAAACATGTTCATTACGTATAGAGGACTGTGTTGTCCCAAGGGTGATACATGTCCCCAATGACAGGTCAGCGTGGACGTCATTCTGACACTGACAGTCTGTTGTTTTAGTCATGGTCAAGTGATTGCGAGATGTTGTCCTCAAACTCTGAAATATGTCCGTGTACTACATGATATCTTTTTCTATCATTTTCTTCCAAAATACCACCATCCTTTGGCATCTTTTGTTACGATGCAGACAGGAACTGAACCGCCAACCAGCTGCTCTGTGGGCCGACACCCTATCCTCACCACCACTAACCTACCAGAGAAAGATTGTGGGGACAGGTTACACAGGTTCTTTTACTCAGTTTTGATAGCAAATCTTAGATATTCGGTAGTTTGTTATACAGACTTCTATATTTTTGTACACAGTTGTAAGATATTTTTTTTCTTTCAATTATAGTTTAAAAAATACAGTTTGATATTGAATAGTTTAAATATCGGTATGTGGTAATTAGCAAAATAATTTTAATGAAAACACTATTTTACACTAGACAAGAAATATCAAATATGATTGAAACAATTATTAAAGTGAAAACAATTATGATAATTAAATGGATAATTATGAGAAAAAGAAATTAAATTAAATACTATGAATAACACACAACACAGTGTGGTGATATATGTGGTAAGACAATGTGGAGTCTACCCTGGAGCCTACAGTCCTGTGTGGGAGGCCTGACCTTGCATAAGGCTGCAGGGTACGTATGAGCATACTGCAGTGCTAGAGGCACACACACACACTGTCATCAACAAGTGTAGCATATCAATCTCCTGTCAGATGTTGCCTTGAACAGCATTAAGTCTTACATCATAGGTAGAAATAAATCTGTCTTATGACACAAGCATAAACTGTGATGTGACAGGCATTTTTTTAAAAGGAAATTAGCAGGTGAAATAAGATGGCTAAGGATGTAATGTTTATAGTTTTGACCTGAGTGTACCACTGATGCAGCTACAGCATTACCCATGCTGTTCCAAGTATCACTGGCCTTGAAAGTTTGGTTTTTACTACTTACACTCCTTTAAGAGTGAGTGAGTGAGTTTAGTTTTACGACGCTTTTAGAAATAATCCAGCAATATCACAAAGGGGGACACCAGAAATGGGCTTCACACATTGTACCCATGTGGGGAATCGAACCCGGGTCTTCGCCGTGAAGAGCAAACACTTCAACCACTAGGCTAACACACACACACTCCGCCCCCCACTACCACCCTTTAAGAGATTACAGAATTACAGACTATTTCCAAATGTGTTTCCACTTTGTAAATATTGTATTAAACCAGTGTTTAAGGTCATAGATAACCTGACAGAAAAAGAAAGTACATTGTGTATACTCCTTGATATGAAACGGTGATGAGGTGAAACGTCGTGCTTGAGAATCATCGCTCATATGACGACGTGCATGCGTGTGTATGTGTATGTGCGTCTGCTTGTACTAGCCTAGACTTAAGCTGGTTTTATAGTGCTAGCCCACTGAGATACCATGCCGCAGTGAAGCATGAATACCCCACTCAGACACATATACTGACTCCGAGCCGACCAGTCCTTGTTGTACCCATTAATGCCGAGCGCCAGGCAGGGACCAACAAGTACCATATTTTAACGTCTTTTGGCATGACGTGGTCAGGGATCGAAACCCGCGACCTTCCGCTCTCCGGGCAGACGCTCTAACCACTACACCACAGAGGCGGCCTGATATGAAACGAACAAGCACTGGTCACTCCAAGATCGTGTATTTGAAATGGATATCATAGTTTGTTTTGACCTAACGATAAAGGCAAGATACTTTATGGATGACAACTTCTTTATTCTATTATGATGCGATGTTTTGGAATAGATGCTTATAACGTTGTCTTGCCAACAAATAGTTGATGTTTTGATCTACATTTGGAGTGCTGCTGAAACATATTTGGAACACTATGACCTAATAGTACTTTTTACAAATAGTCATGATATCGACATATGTAAATGATTGATGGATATTGTTGCTAGGTGACATCGTTTACACATACATGTATATCAGATTGGTTGATAATACTGTCCATGATAAGTATGGTAAAAGTGTTTTGTTTTGTTGACTGTCTAAACAAATATATGGGTTTCATTTCCAATTGATAATTTATAAATAGTTCAATATTTGTGAAGGTTTTTTTTAAATACATATCAACAGCTCACCTGGATGAAAGTATATTTGAAATATTGACCTAGTTTTGACCATGCTGTTCAGTAATTATTTTCTGAAACTGACAGACTGAGACTGAACTTTGGCATGTAGTTTCCTGTTATTGTGACATCCAATTACTGTGTTAGTGTTTCATAGTTTTGAATATCAGTTAGGGCTGGCTATTGATATAGGGTCAATAATCACTGACTGAATATCACTCAGTTATTGACAAATATTGAGAAGGACGTTTGATAAAAAATAAAAAACAGTCCAAGAGAAATCAACATTTCACATCATGGATGAGTGGTGACATATTTTTGTATCGATTACTTACAAAACAGTGTTGTGAACATAATTTAGAAACAGTCCATATATAAAAATGTAACTTTGTGTTTTGTGCATGTAAATTAAAACTTTATTTCAATACAATAGTTTATGTATGATATTATCAACAACACAAGTTTCATTTTAAAAAATCATTAATAATTCTAATTATCTTTTAGTCAGCCCTAATAGCAATGCTGACACCAGGTCCTTTGATAGTATTACCCAGTTGAACTGCACTGTGGTAATACGCTTCACATTTTCCCGTTGTTGTGACTATCCAAGGCAACCAGAAGTACTAAAGGTTAAATGACAGTATGGTTATGTCCAGACCCTGAGGCATAATATAAACAGTGTGATATTTCTTCTTCTTAAAAAATTGTATGCACATCAGAAACTCCGGGCATTCGGGTTTCGCTCCTTCAGCTATGGTGCTCCACAGTTGTGGAATCAACTCCCGACTGAACTCAAAATGTCTCCCTCCATTGACTCATTTAAAAGTTCCCTGAAAACCCATCTTTTCAGAAAATATTACAATCTATAACTTAACTTTCCAAAAATTTCACCCTCGTTCTAGCATAACCTTTGCTTTGTAAATATTTGTAAATATGTAGCGCTTTGAGCATGCCTTATGTGTGGAATTCAGCGCATTATAAATACACATATTATTATTATTATCAGGCAAGTGTTGAACTGGTTCATTTTGCATTTCAGGCTTTAATAATATATTCTGTTTGTGTTTCAAGGCATCAAGTTCAAACTAGGATAAAGTGTGTTAGCCCTGACAGAATCTATCTCATAAACCTTTCACATAGATTCTCTTTGGTCTGTATATTTGTGGCTGCTGGAGACTCTGGGTAATCAAGTTTTGCAATACCTGATTTTAAAATGGGGATGTGAAGGTGAGCATTGTCCACATATTGATCGTATTTCTTATCATCACAGCAACATCAGACAAATCAAATTTACATTTTTCAGTTAATTAGTTTAAGTTATTCAAACATCCATATTTATTTGCATTTAAATGAACTTGAAAAGTATATCATTTGTTCCCAGTTGTATTTTTATATGTATATGACACAGTATTTTGCATCCAGAAAAGCCTTTCGGTCATTACTATTTTTCTGTGATTGCGCACCTGTCTAGAGAGAATACCTTTACTGTGTGGCTTCTACTTACATTAACCCGTGAAGGTCCGGGTTAGAATGTGCCTTCAGTAACCCATGCTTGTCGTAAGAGGCGACTAACGCGATCAGGTGGTCAGGCTCGCTGATTTGGTCGACACATGTCATCGGTTCTCAATTGCGCAGATCGATGCTCATGCTGTTGAGCACTGATTTGTCTGGTCCAGACTCGATTATTTACAGACAGCCGCCATATAGCTGGAATATTGCTGAGTGCGGTGTAAAATTAACCTCACTCACTCACTCACTCTACTTACATTATATATCAGTGTATACTGTTCCTTTGTCTGCACTGATCCAGCACGCTCCTTCCGCAGACGGTACACGGTGTGGAGAATATCCACAATACGTAGGTTCTCATACTGGCGCATGCAGATATCCGTCCCGATGAATGTTCCTGTTCTTCCTGTTCCTGGGCTGATGAAGAACAACAGACATACTGTGACACACTATACTTTACATGTGAACAAGGCAAACAGGAAACAATTAAAGTGGGTCTATCTGCTTTCTTCTTCCACTGTTTTGTAAAGGTTTGTGAAGTGGCAGTAAAATCTCCTAACATGATAGAACCCATCTGCAGCTGCAGACTGTACAGCTTACAGCTGATGCATGGATTGTCCAAGGCAAGCCCAAAATGGATGATATCAGACTGATTAGGGGTCAGAGGAGGGGTCCAACATGCCAATTATACTACTATCCAGAAAAATCATTCAAAGCTCTTGCACTAAGCAATTAGATTCCTCTGGAAAGACTTTTAGACCGCTGACAGGATTTAAGATAGGGGGCAGGGTTTTTTTCAAAACACAGGGTAGTAACGTCTATAGTTTTGCCTTGGTCATTGCAAAGAAAAACAGCTTAAAATATTTGAGAGAATATTATTAAAGTTCATTTTGTAGACTGAATATTGTCAGTTGGTTGTCATTGGTTACCTGCAGTGCACTATTAGCGGCGCCCCACTGTCCTCATAGAAGACCCTGGTGTCCAGGATGAACTTGACCAGGGATATCGGCTCTGGGCTGCCATGTTGGGGCCAGGCAGTATACCAGCAGTGCTTCACTTCCCGTACCAGATTGTTCTGTCAACACATTCCAAAAACATCTAGCCTCATCTCAATTCCATTTTTATAATTTTTATACATTCAAGTTTTCATATGAATGTTGTTTTTTATTGCTCTCAAAATTAGGGCACAATGTCTATATTCTAAATTCCATCACTCGTATTACAAAAATAATCATGATTTTTAAATGTCCTAATAAGGGCAGATGCTTTATAAAAGAAACATCACTTGTCATTTATTGCACCCAGATATTCCTCCCTTGCTTTTGGTTTTATAATAAGCACCCATCTTTGAAACTTTACACACACTCAAACCTCTTGAAATGTGGAATACAGTATAAGGGCTGTTGATGTACCGACATGTCACTGTTGTCATTATCTGTTACAACAAATGTGAGTATTGTTTTAAATTTCTTTTCTCTTGACAATGTGTGAAGCCCATTTCTGCTGTCCCCACTCACTCACTTTTCTCTTGACCCAGTCTAGATCCATACAGTAATGTGTGAATTACTGAGTATAAAAATCCCATATACACTCCCTCCCTCCCTCACTCAGTTGTAGATATGTAAATCTCATCAATGCACAAGGGAGATAACCATGGTATGCATGCCCATGGGTTATGGATGGGTTTCCAAGTTTCTGAGTGAATTAAATCAGCTATGGATGTCTGAGCATTGATTGTTTTTCTTACCAGGCCCAAGTGAGTATTAGGTGCATCCAAAGCTAAATCTGTATCATTAAAACACTGTGTATTTGTCGAGATCATTATCCCTGCATGTTCTCACCTCAATGTCCTTCAGTTCCAGTATGGAGATGATGTATTCCTGGTGCACGTCTTTCTTCTTTAGGAGAATCATGAAGTCCCCGTACCTCTGTAGCGAGTCTCCCAGACAGTCAGGCAGGTAGTGGGCACACTTGGGCTACAACACAGTCAGTTTACATTACTACGGAACAACTAACTCTTTGTGAAATTCAAATTCCACATCAAATCATCTCCTTGCAGCATGCTTGTTGTGAGATAATATGTTGATTATTCAATACCAATAAATATCAAAGATGTTTGAGGATTTTATAATCAAGGAACATCAAAACAAATTTGGACAGAAGTATTAACCTGTTTTACTGATATTTTAATGGGAATTTTTGACAAAACTTCCACTGTTCCATGCCACATACAGGGTACTGACTTTCTGTGGCAGCCATTCTGCTCAGCAAACAACTCACATGACCATTTTCCTCCATGGCGGTTAGCATGATGATGACACGTGACTGTTGTTCCCAGACCATTCTCCAGAAGTCAGCAACAGTAGAATCAAGAGGCGCCTGTGTTGCTACGTATGCCCGCTTGTCGTCATTGTAACCCTAGTTAGAAAACAATGCCAGACTTGCTGTCAGTATCACTGGTATGTCAGTAACAATAAAAAAATGTTAGTGATTAATTTAACTTGTTCCGGAATGTATGTCTGGAATCATTATATTTATAATGCATTTTCATAGTTACTGAATACATTAAAAGATAAGTATAGTTGTTGTTGACCATTAAAATTTATATCATGGCATAATAATGGAGTCGGTCACCAAATGGTTGATAGTGTGAGCATCCAATGCCTTCATTTGTTGAAGTGAGACTCTTTATTGTATTGAGACAAATGTATTGAATGCCTTCATTTGTTTGATTGTTAATGTCTAATGTCCACTAAATCCCTGCTTAATCATTCTGTTATGGACACTCGTGATGCCTTCATGACATCCATAAGTACCGTTACAAAGTTAGCATTGACATAATCCGAAGCAACTTGGCTGAGTCTCCTCTTCAGTTTGACCCTTGTTTCAGGAACTGAAACAAATAACACAAAACTGAAATGGGATGGGCTCTTTGAAATCACCAGGAATAATATATGTATATTCCCGTTTACCTGGAAATGTAGGCGAAGAGCACAATCATATTTCTTTACTCATCAATATAAAAGCAACTGCACCATCAAGTGATTATTTTGCTCACATGGCATGGGTGGATCCAGTTTGGGGTGGGGATGGGGTGTTTCGAAAAATGACTTAATTGACTCAAAATGACTTTTGACAATGACTTAAGACCACATTGAAGATTTTTTTCATATGTTGAGTGACATCACGGTTGATTTATGATTGTAAACATTTTGACAGTGTCAAGAAAATCCATTTGATGTGTGCAATTCCTGAATTCAAGAGCTGGGCTTAATTGAGGTTACATTATATAATATGATTACCCGAGGGATCATTTTTCATTATGAACCATGTCGCTTAAATACTTGAATTCCCAATACCAAGCAGTATTTTGCTGAACTGTCCATCGTCTACCTGTGTGAGCCAGATAGTTGTCTTGTATCATGAACAGCCACTTACTTGGAATGACATTAGCATATCTGTTTTTTGTCCTCCGCACCAACAGGAACGGTAGACAGCCGGGGGGTGAGGTTCGGGACAAACTGCAGACAAACACAGACTGTACTGACATTGGATTCCTGGAGGATTATGAGTGAAGTTTTAAATCAAGGAAACGACTAAGCATCTGTTATTGAATAATTAAAGAAAGGTCAGATAGGGGGTATAGGTTAGGATATGATGTCGTGGTGACAAAATATTGTAATATTGTTATAGCACCCAATACCCACACTATATTAGTACTCCAGTCGGTGGATCGGTGTGCATGTTTGTCTCAGCTCCCTGAGGAGTATGAAACTCAGTGAGAGACAATATGGGTAATTTTACAGTCACTTTCACCAATTCTCAGAGAGAATGCCCAATTACCTATTTCTTCTGTCGTTTTGATTTGTACTTGTTTAGCAGACGAACAAACACGAATAAAAGTCAAATACGCATCCAGTACTACCGAGCTGTAGTGTTTAAACAAATGGATACAATTAGTATGTTTACCATCATAGGCGTTTAGAATTACTTCCCATAGGTTGTACGTACATGAATGTAAAACCTATGAAAAAAATGAAGGGATTATCATAATAAACAAAACAAATGTGACGCTACGAAATATATCGCCACAATAGCGGTAATCTACGTTACAGAACGTAAAATGCAGTGTAAAATGCATATATATTGACAAACATTTGTTTTGAAAGCTTTGAAAGTTTTTACTGGATATATTATATGTAGAAAAAGTGTCATCTTGGAATACATAGTACCATATAAAACCGTAGACAAAGATTAACCCGGTCTATAAAAATAGTTGTGTTAAGCATGAAAGTTACGTTACCATTACTGTACGGAAACATGAATAGCAGCTACCTATAAAAGTGATTAGAATGAATGCTTTGTGTTTTCATAGTGTAATAAAACCGAAAAGGGAGTGCAATATGCTTCCAGTCAAGATTATTGTAGTTTGCAAACGGTGAAAGTAATCTACGTTATGAAATTTACGTTACCACCTGAATTGGAATCTTACAAAATATTACTGGAAATAGAAGATTTCGCTTCGTAGCATAGTCAGAGAACCCAGGCAAATAATTTGATAACCTACAACAGTTACCACCGGTTGCTGTCACATGATTGCAGCACTTCAGTGACATTTCACGAAATTCAAATTTGGATGGGAAACTTCATCTTTATTCGGGAAATTCCCTGTGAAACAGGTAAGATTGCTTGTTAATTTACTTCATTATAGGGATATAGTTTCACAATATTTCAAAACAATTGTTCTACTGTTGAGAAGCGTTACTAGAAGCATTTGAAATGATCACTCTATTTGGGTGTCGTTAGCCATCATTTCAAAAGATTGACAAAAGTTGTATTTTGTGAAGCTTGTATCAATTCTGTTAATATCACATAGATTTTTTTAGACATATTGATATTGACCCTAAACGTATGATATTTCAATCTCTTAAAAAAACTGCAAAATATCTTTCACCTCAATTTTGTACTCGCTCCTCAAAGCATGGTAGCATAGATTGCAATGAATGAAGTAATCACCTTCATAAACATCACATGTTCCGGTAGCTGTTATGAATATTTTATTTATTACTAATCAAGTAGCAATAATGACTTTCATTTATGGTAAGTTGTTGTAAAATCAGTCTGTATGAGGACGATTATTACGTCCAATGAATTAGTTTGTAAGGTAACGTAGATTACAGTTTGGTAAGATAGATTACACAAATATCATTGTTGAATTCTGACAGAATGGGCAAGACTCATGCCGAGATCCAGCGGGATTACGGACAAGGGAATAGGGAGAAAGAAGGAATGAATGTTATTCATGTGAACAAGTGTTTTTTGTGCAAATCTGTAATCTACGTTACAAAGGCATTCATTCACAACCTGATCAATAATATTACCTTTTATAAATGTCAGTGAAGTTCAAGATATTACCTCTCAGATGTCGATTCTTTTTATCGACTTCCTTTGCGTAAAGAACTGCATTTAACAGTATAACATAAAGTTGTATTTTCAAGAGCTTTGACTTGATCAACTTTTTTGTTATAATGCTAACAAACTCAATTGAGTGTAGAGGATGTTACATGTAATGTTGTTTCTTTAACGAAGCACAACTTTGGGATTAACGACTGAACTTTGTGAATGATATCTCCCTTCAATGTGTTATGCAGCCATCATAAAGAACAGTCACATAGATTACAACGATCATGTAGGGTGGTATTGTATGAGATGTGATGGAATTTTTACAAGCTCCCCTTGAGTGCTACAATTTCTATTTTCATTCGTGACACTTTCTTCAATAAAACAGCAACAAGTGACAGAAATAGTGTCTTTACGATTTGTGTCTTTCAAATTGGTCATTCTCTGTGACAATTGGTGCTTTACCATCTCAACTTACTGGGTACCCATTCACTGCTGCATGTTCAGCAAGATATTTTGATGAATGCTTGCAGTTCTGTGTGGGGCAGGACCAAAACCCCAGTAACTGTGAAGCATCAAGCTACCCAACACTGGCATCCATTTTGATGTGGGGATTTAATGTACTATAGGTATCTGGATCTTCAGTCAAGTACCTGGAACTCCTCTTTCAGCACCTCTGGCTCCAGGCATCTATTGGCAAGGCCAGCAAAGTTCACCGGGAATGACGGCTCTGCCTGAAACATGGACACGATTGACATCGGTACATCTTTCGTAACTTAGAAACGTTTGACATCAGTACATATTTCATAACTTAGAAAGGCTTGACATCAGTACATGTTGGTACTGAGACATAAGAATAGAAGTTGCTAAAAATATTAACATCAATAGATGTATTGAAAAGTGAGGAATACTGACATCAATACATATATTAAAAGATGACAAATATTGATATGAATGCACTTTTTGAAAGATGAGAAATACTGACAATAATACATCTCCAGATCTTTGTAATGCTAGCCCACAAATATTGTGCCACATCTCACCAGTCCCTGACCAGTTTTATTGGTTCACTTCAGGGTAACGACAAGTACTATTTCCGTAGGTATTTTGATATGGCGATGTTGGGGATCAAACAAACAATCTTCTGCTGTCTGCTCCATCCACTTGACTATGACTGGGAAGTCTTACCATCTCTGAAGGGTCCATGCCAGGGTTGAACAGGCCACTGTTGGGTCGAGACTTGGTGACAGAGGCCAGAGCTATGGAGTCCATGCTTGTGAAGGACGGATGGCGGGAGTCCGGCAGGTACACCCGTTTGTTGCGGTTACGCATCACTATCTGGAAAAGGGATGAAATGCTGCAGAACACTACACAGGAGATATCTTCAAAAGGGAAACAAAAAAGCTTCAGTTTGACAATTTTAGAACTTCTTTCACAAACAGAAACTAATGATGTGATTTGTAAACAGTCACTATACTTATAAGATATATAGGACCTTAGACTGACTGACTGACTGGTTTGATGTCACTTTTAGCAATATTCAAGCAACATCACAGCGGGGCTTCGACACCAGAAATGGGCTTCACACAATGTACCCATGTGGGGATTCGAACCCGGGTCTTCGGTGTGACGAGCCAACGCTTTAACCACTAGACTACCCCACCGCCCCCATAGGACCTTAGAGGGTTCCATAGTAACATTACTGACTGAACAGACATGGCTTAACCCATCAACAGTCTAAGCTGGCCTCCTGTCTGCCTACTTTTAGTACATCACTGAACCTGAGAAGGCCTCTTCGTATCTGCCTACATCAGAGAACCAAAGGTGGCCTGCTGTCTGCCTACCTATAATACTTCACTGAACCAAAGGTAGCCTGTTATCTGCCTACCTATAGTACTTCACTGAACCAAAAGTGACCTGCTATGTGCCTACCTGTAGTACATCAGTGAACCAAAAGTAACCTGCTATCTGCCTACCTGTAGTATGATGAGAGCCACGCAGCAAACTCCTCCCACCGAGGCAATAACTATGGCAATAGTAATACCAGGCTCCATGGCAAACATGCTCTCTCTCCCCTTCTCTTCCGGCACCTTGGTGACATGGCCTTCTTCAGTTGGTTGGTCAGTGTTAAGTCTGACCTCCAGAAGCTGCAGACAAGCCCCCAATGGAGTCAGATCAGTGGCTCAATATCACAGTGTCAAACTATGGCAGTCTACTCTAACCTGCACATTTCTACTTCTTAAAGTTAAATGTGAAACCATGGTAACAGGTTGAATCTGTAAGCAGTTTTATTTGTCAACACATTTCTGGTAGAGAAAGTACTTTAGACAGACTTTTGAAATTAATGACTAAGCTACTTTATTAGGCAGGAACAGACTCAGCAGGGGCCAAAGTGTGCTTGTAACTACATCCTGTTATGCAGGGTTAAATATTTTGTAAGTAGTGAGAGATGAGATATGAATCAAGACTAACCTTGTCTTTGAAGAATGATTCCACCTTGGAGCTGAAACCTTGAATGACAACTCTGGCACAGGCTATGGTGAGTCGTCTGTCGTAGTTTCCAGTTATGTCCACCAGGTAGAAACTGATGATGATATCATCTGGCATTTCAGCTGCCATTAGGTCCAAACATTCATATTGTTGAATATTCATTAAGGTTATTTGTTCTGTTGTCACATCCCGACCAGCTTTCTCAAGGAAGATATCCTTCAGATCTGCTCGGAACACCCTCTCCTTGGGACAGAAGTCTAGCCAAGACATCTTCAGCTTCACCTGAGCGAACACTGGAGGTTCTGTAGATGGTGGAACACTGTGATAAGAGGTGGTATTGATGTTTACAGTAGTGGGAACCTTTGTAGAGGAAAACAGGTTCTCTGAAGTACTGTTGACAGTGGGCTGTGTGGCTGTTCCTGCATTAGGTGTCTGTGTCTTCTTCCTACTATGGCTGTCTGAGCCATTACCAGTGGTAGACTCTGGTATCACTGTGCCGTTGTTGCTGGATGTTGTGTTGGTGTCAGAGTCACCATGCTGGGGCTTTACTTTGCGCTTGGTGGTGGATGGAAGTCTGACTGTGGTAACTGGCACAGTTGTGGACCCAGTGGTGTAGGGAGTTACTGCTGATGAAGATGTGGTTCCTCTGGATGTTGATCCACTCCTCAACAAACTGACTAAATGTATGGTTGGAGGGGAAGATGTACTCAGCTTTGTTGTAGGCCTCTTGGAAGATGTGCCTGTGGAAACACTGGGTCCAGCTGTGGTGGACTGGGTACCTACTGCTGTGGCTGCTGCAGGGCTGGCAGCAGTTGTTGTCACAACAGATAAGGTTGAGTTCTTCTGAATTACAATCTCATGAGATACAGATGGTAGGGTGATCACAACAGGCTCTGCAGGTGTGCCAGCAGTAGTTAATGTAGCAGATGTCTCTACTGTTGAGTTGGTCAACATAGAGGAAGTGGTCATAGAGCTGGAACTTGACTCTCCACTGCTGATGCTGGAGGATGGGGCTATGTCCTGGACAGATAATGTCTGTTCACCTATGGCTGACCTGGACAGCACCACAGTACTGGAGGTTTCAGCATGTCCATCTGAGAAGAGATATGTAGCAGTAGCTGGTTGTTTGTCTTGTTTCATGTTTTTTGTGTCTGTTTCATCTGTCACTGATGTTGAGGATATTAGAGAAACATTGTCAGATGGACTCACACCTACATCAACAGGACTTAGAGTAATGTCTGAGGACATGGTTTCTAGTACTGTGGTATCTGGTATCACTCTGGAACCATCTATAACATGTTCACTTGTGGTCAGAGAAAGTCCAGTTGAAGTTACAGGACTGACTGTTTCTGTTTCATCAATTATTGGCCTGGAGGTCAGCTTCAGATTTGAATCTGGTTGAGGAATGAGAATATCAGCTAAACTGGCCACCATCGTGGAACTTTCATCAACTATTACTCTTGTAGACATTAGATTTGAAGATACATAGTCAGATGACACAGACTGTGAGGAATGCAGAATATTGTTTGTGGTGTCAGGGAATGTTGGTCTAGGTGGGACTTCCTCGCTGTTGTTAGATCTCCCCTGTGATGTGTTATTCACATCGACAGACGTGACATCAGTGTTGTTCCCCACCTCGGATATGTTCCTGGTTGGGGTGGGAGCCAGGAGGACTGCTGGGGTGGTAGGTTTCAGTGGCCTGATACTTAGCGTCTGGTGGTCGATCTGTGGCATATCAGTCACATGCACATACTGAGGAGCCCCAAGGATGCCAGTGTCTGTCTCCTCAACATTGCTGATGCCAGCCACTGGCTGCTCAGGGATGTGTTCATTGTGTTCATGGTCCCCACCTCCCTGAGGGTTGGGGTTGTTAAGCATAAGCTCCTCTGATCCATCTGATCCTGCTGATTGGGGGTTGGCTCTGTTGGCATTGTTCTCCCAACAAACTGAAAGGATTGTTCTCCTCAAGCGTTGCATCCGGGATCACCTCGCCTCCAGTCTCTGTCCCTAGAGGGTTTTCCACCAGTCCTAAGGGCATCTGTATGGTGGCATGGCTGGCAGGGAGGGTCATCAGTGCTGCCAATGCTGAAACAAATGTGATTTCACAGCATAATGTTGGAGAAAAGCCTGAAGTGACACACATCTTTTAGACATTTGATAAAAAACCACAAGCAGGGGTATGGTGCTGTGATACCTAGAATCATTATCAGTGTGGTTCTGGACTTTTAACCAGTGATCACTGGATCTAAGATCTTGTGTACTACACACAAAAAAGTTTATTCTTGTGGAATCTCCTTGATAGGAGAATAAGGTTATTATATGTTACATGCATCATTATGGCATTACGTTGCAATGTTTGCTGGACTCTTGCCTTGGTTTGTACATCATTAAACAAATTGCCTCAATAACAGCATCTTAAATCACATATGTTGATAGTGCGAGAACTGGAGAACATGTAAAGTCTATAACAATATGTGTACCTGCAAACATCAACAGAATTGTAGTGCCTCTGAAATCCATGAAGAGTTGTCGCTGGTCAGTGGAAGACATGGTCAGTGTTGCCATCACTTGATGATAAGAGTCGTTGGTCCATTGTGGCTGCTTCCATTGGATGTTCCTTTATGCAGCCATGTCTCCTCTAAAACCAAATATTTAAACGTGTTCACACTTGTAAATGCCAGTTAAGAACCACTTGTTCCTAGCAGTTGTGTCCCAACCTGCATTGTGACTGTGTTCAAACTTTTAAATTCCAATAAAAAGAGTTGATGATTGGTGTCAGTAGCCAATGGTAAAGCAATCTGTAACAGCACACCGCTGGTGGCCATAAGAAATAGGAAGTTCCCTCAGCAACATGCCTAAACATCACAGATCAAGATCAATAGTTCATGTATGGAATGCAGAAGGTATACCAAGGAGCGGTTTCATAATGACTGTGGACAAAGATGTATGAGTGATGGGTATGAAATATGCCATACCCCTAAAATATATGTTAAAGTCAATATTCTTTTGCTAAAATTTTATTTATCTGCCTTATTGTTGGCATAATTAATGTACCCCCAGCACATGATTGATGAGGTGATGTGGACATCCCAGCACATGATTGCTGTTGTGGTGTGGACATCCCAGGACATGACTGCTGTTGTGATGCCGACTCAGCACATGATTGATGAGGTGATGTGGACATGCCAGCACATGATTGCTGTTGTGATGTGGACATCCATGACTGCTGTTGTGAGCACATGATTGCTGCTGTGATGCTGACTGCACATGATTGCTGTTGCCATGCTGACTGATGCTGACTGTTGCTGATGCTGTTGTGATTTGGACATCCCAGACATGACTGCTGTTGTGATGCTGACTCAGCACATGATTGCTGTTGTGATGGACTCCCAGCACATGATTGCTGTTGTGATGCTGACTCAGCACATGATTGCTGTTGTGATGTGGACACAACACATGATTGCTGTTGTGAAGCTGACTCAGCACATGATTGCTGTTGTGATGCTGACTCAGCACGTTTGCTGTTGTGATGCTAACTCAGCACATGATTGCTATTGTGATGTGGACACAGCACATGATTGCTGTTGTGATGCTGACTCAGCACATGATTGTTGTTGTGATGTGGACACAGCACATGATTGCATCTGACTCAGCAGCATGTGGACACAGCACATGATTGTTGTTGTGATGCTGACATGATTGATTGCTGATGCTGACTCAGCACATGATGATGATTGCTGGACACTCCAGGACATGACTGCTGTTGTGATGCTGACTCAGCACATGATTGCCATTGTGATGGAGAAACCCCAGACCATGATATTGCTGATGCATTGTGGACACTCCAGCTCCAAAACAGCTCATTTGATAAACAGATCCAGTGGTCAGGACTAGTTGCCTTGCTTGGTTGTATGTTATTTGTATTGGTTGGTGGTCACGATATCATTTGTCTGGTCCAGATTTCATCTAACTGGAGTACTGCTGAGTGTGGCATCGACAGCTAATAGACAAACTAACCTGCAGTGCTCCTGTTCGGGAAATGCTAAAGTTCTCATGCCCATGTAATTATCTCTTTCTGTAGGTCTATACATACAGTCAATCACGTGTGTTGTATATGGTTGCCACTGGGTTTGCCATCAGCAAGCTGAGAAGAAACCACCAGGGCAGTGCTGCCTTTATCAAACACATCATCACAACCTTGTAATTGCAATTTCAGAAGCCATTTCTGGTGTGTGATCCATGCTAATGTGTTTCATAACCAGATCATCTCCAGTCAGTGAGCTAGGAAACCTCACACTGAGGCAACAAAGCTCATCTGCTGAAGTCTGCCATGGTGTCGTTACCTGGTCTCAGCAAGGGCTGGGTTACAGCATCAGAGGCTCCCTGGCCACAGGTGATGACAGCACAGTTCTTCTGTCAGAACACAGATAGATCTCCAAGAGTTGATGAAGCAGTCAGACAGAAGCAGTGATGACAGACACAGCAACACAGATGTAGGTGGGTCCAGTATTGAAACCCACTGTCTGTCATCACGGCTTATCTTACTAAAATAGGTGATGATGCATTTATGAAAAAACACTATATAGACTGTTCCATTATCTGTGTAAATTGTACAAATAGAATATCTTCAAATCTGTTTCAGCACAATGCATAATGATGACTTTATCATCATAAATGTGACCATTCGATATTTTTGAGCTTGTCACTAACTGGAATGAGTGATTCAAGTAGGAAAATGGTAATTTCAGTTCAAATAATGATAAGGTAGGTAATATTTAATCTATCTACCTACTACAACAAATGATAGGTAGGAGTATATTTTTGAAATATCAACAAAAACATTTGCCCTAGGTTTTCAGACATATTCTTTGTCTTATATTCCTGATGCCTCAGAAACATTCATGATGTCAGTGAAAGTCAGTCATGCATTACAGTATATTTAATTTGTCCAGGAAAACTCTAAACATATATAGACTTCAGGAAAATAGAATATGTATAGCCATTTTTTAAACACCTGGTGTCAACACTATGTAAAATGATTGGTGAAGGTGGTTTTTCAAACTGTTTGGACCTTGTTCCTTCCCTTATGGCAGCAGTTAGATTTAATTTAGCCCAAGGCAGTGGTGTGTCTTATTACCTGTATAAGTCCTCAACCAGAGATCATGTGCTACTGAAGTGAATTCGTGAGTTTGGGTTTAGCAATATTCCAGCAATATCACGGTGGGGGACACCAGAAATGGGCTTCACATATTGTACCCATGTGGTGAATCGAGCCCGGGCCTTCTGCGTGACGAGCGAACGCTGTAACCAGTAGGCTACCCCACTGCCCCTGTCAGCGTTCAAAATAGCTACTGTCCCGCTAGCCAAATAGCTACTGGCCCGCTAGCCAAATAGCTACTGGCCCACTAGCCAAATGCTAGCTGACTGTGAATCGGGCCAGTAATATATTGTTAAAGCTATCCCAACTGGCTAGCTGAAAATCTCAGATAACTTGTTCCTTATTTAATGCACATGAATATGAGGAAGTCAATTATTAAGGTGTTAAAAGTCTGTCCACAAAAGTTCCGTGATATTTATTATCTCTTGTCACATGAAGATCGCTATATAAAAACATTAATAGTGTTGAAAAAAAGAGGTTAGCAACCATTAAAATACAAATGTAACGTTTAACTTTAATCTTAGTTTTTGTGTTTGTTTGATTTATATTGTTTCCAAGGGGTGACAATAACTTACCATCTGCAGTTACCAAACACCATACCAATTCTGACCGATGTACACTTTGATGTTGATATTTGGCAGGGCCAGTGAAGTATCATGTGGGCTAGCAACACTTTCACTTAACCAGTCCTCCTGCAGTGACTTTTCCAAATGAATTCATACACTGGCCCCTATACTACTCAAAAGAAATTACAGACCATTTCATGCTACTAATGTTAATCTGCTTATGTGTGATAAAGATATAAAATGGTTTGTCTGAACCAGACCTGATGTAGAGACCATATCTAGTTACCATGCTTTGTCTGAACAAGGTATGAAATAGAAATCATATCTAGTCACCATTGTTTGTCTGAACAAGGTATGAAATAGAAATTACAACTAGTTGCCATGGTTTGTCTGAACAAGCCCTGACCTGGATGGCAGGTAATAATGTTTATAAAGACTTACTGGAGAAAAAACATAATTATAATGTTTTAAACACCTGCAGGAGAAGAAACAGGTTATCATGTTTATTATGACTTGCCAGATAAAATAACTGGTTATCAAAATGTTTGTGAAGACCTTCCAGAGACAGGCATATTTCAGTTGCGAAACAGGTGAAGTCTGAAGCATCAGACTGAATGAGTTGAACCTGGCAATTAGCGTCATGAGCAGTCAGTGTGAGAAGCGCACCAAGAAAAGATGATGGTAATGTAGAGTTTCAAACTGTGGTATAGTCTGGCTGTTCATTCATGTGCACAGTATAGAGATTATTGCTTAAAAAGTACAAAAACTGCCACATTTATGTATACAGTGTATAATTTAAGATAGACAGTGAGTGACAATATTATTTATTTAGTGGACACAATAGTAGACAAATATTGTGACCGAGATATTGCATTGCATACAGCCTTACAGAAACAGTGACCTGTTCAATCATATTTTATAGTGTTTTATCTTAGGTAAATAGTTTCAGCATTGAGTACTTGCACCAATGCAACCTGCAACTGCAAAAAGCAACCTCATATTTATACCCAGTGCATGTTAATATTTGGCAGTTCATAGAACTCAGACTTCAGCTGGAAAACAGAATGATGAGGAACCCAGGCTTGGAGCAGTGCCTTTGATGGACCCTGGACAGAGGTTGAATGACTGTTGCTTTGCTTATCATGAAATTTTGATGAAGTAAGACAAAATGATCCCCAGAATAATTCTTTTATAATGATGTCCTAAGTCACAAATACCCAATCTTAAGTGTTTAATATAATTTGACATTGAACAGCAGTGAGCAACCTGGTCATTACCTAAGGATCGATGCACCAGGTGCAAGTTAAAGTTTCATTTCCTCAAATAGAGCCCTTTAAAATATAATGTAAAATATGTATAGAGTCACCAGTGATATAATGCAGTCAACAATCTAATGTAAAAAGTTAGCGGTGTGTATGATACACTGTAAATAAATAGTAACAGTTTATACAATACAGTGTACAATGTAAGTAAATAGTAACGGTTTATATAATACACTGTGCAATATAAAGTAAATAGTAACAGTTTATATAATACAGTGTACAGTGTAAGTAAATAGTAACGGTTTATATAATACACTGTGCAATATAAAGTAAATAGTAACAGTTTATACAATACAGTGTACAGTGTAAGTAAATAGTAACGGTTTATATAATACACTGTGCAATATAAAGTAAATAGTAACAGTTTATATAATACAGTGTACAGTGTAAGTAAATAGTAACGGTTTATATAATACACTGTGCAATATAAAGTAAATAGTAACATTTTATACAATACAGTGTACAATGTAAGTAAATAGTAACTGTTTATATAATACACTGTACAATCTAAAGTAAATAGTAACGGTTTATATAATACATTCTACAATGTAAGTAAATAGTAACTGTTTATATAATACACTGTACAATCTAAAGTAAATAGTAACAGTTTATATAATACATTCTACAATCTAAATAGTAATGGTTTATATAATACACTGTACAATCTAAGTAAATATTAACGGTTTATATAATACACTGTACAATCTAAGTAAATAGTAACAGTTTATATAATACATTCTACAATCTAAATAGTAATGGTTTATATAATACACTGTACAATCTAAGTAAATATTAACGGTTTATATAATACATTCTACAATCTAAGTAAATATTTATGGTTTACATAATACACTGTACAATCTAAGTAAATAGTAACAGTTTATATAACACAGTGTACAAGACGTAAGAGACACTATCAAGTGTAATTACCGTGGAGAAAGTGGAACAGGCTGGTGACAGTCACGGAAACATACACACATGTGTAAGTGATTAGTATAGACTGCTCAACCAGTCACTCTCACCAGCCCTATCACCACTGATTGCGATGTAAACACATCCTATACAAGTTAAACACCAACACAAATAATATTCATTATCTGCTGGCTCTGATCTCTGTTAATATATTGAATGTTAAGAAAGGTTATAGGTCATCTGTCCAACCTCCCACATACATTTAAGGTCTAGTTGGTATCAACAATAAAACAACCATTACCATGACTGTGTGAGTAAAATGCATAACATTCGCCTCCTAAAAGATTTATCAAAAAGGTCATAAACAAATTTTATGCAAGACTAATCATAAATCTAATATGCAAATCATATCCAATCAGCAATCAGTTGATGGAACCATCTTGATATTACAAAATATACTGTACCGACACCATTCAGGGGCAGGACATTGAATGGAAATGGTTTGTTTACCGTTAAACATAGTATTACACAAATAAAATAAAGAAAATATACACAATATTCCATGCAGCTCAAATAAGCAAGTTTGTTATGTACAGGCACCTAAATTGTGTTAAGTATTTAAGCACGGTTCTCCTCCACATTTTGCAATATTAACTTTTAGGGATGTTTGGTGATATGGAAATTGAGATTTGGTGAAAGCTCTGACCATCATGATACCCCCATGACCAGGCTGTGTCGAGAGTAAAGACAAGCATCTACTTCCTCCTGTATACAATGCTTAGGCCACCATTTCTGCAACATGATATCGAAGCGTTTGTTTTATCAAATATACTGTAAAAAGATATGCAATGCTGAAACAGTTGTGTTCCTTAAACTCTTATGTCATATGCATAATTACTGAGATACTTCATCTCAAAATATATTATAAAATTATTTACCTTCTTCAAAGACTTAACAGAAATGAATAAAATGTTATTTTCATGATTTTTGCTACATTTGTTTTTGTTTTTATTTACCTCATTACAGTACAGTTTTCCTGACTCACGATTACGATGTATGAATTACAGCACAGATGTCTGAAGCACTGTGTGACTAGCAGTGCAACATGACCTAACCTGACATTACATTCAAGCCACCTAAACAATAGGTGATAAACAAAGGGTTGTTGTTGTTGTTGTTGATAAGCACCGTTACTCACCTGTCTGTAGATATCTGCTAGTACAACACACCTACTGATCAAACCACAAAACCGGACAAGTAAAAGTATACGCCCCCTGACCTGTTTAATCCATTGGAAGCTTGTTATGGATGAAAGCAGTTAGTACTTGGATTAAGCAGAAACACATGTCAAAAGATTATGACATGCTTATCACCATGATTAATAATTTGGCAGATTTTCAAGTGAACAATATTTATAGGAAAAAGGGGATGCAATTATGATTTAATATGTTTTTGTTCCAACAACTAAAACATAAATTTTTATTTATTCTTTTTCTTATATATGAGATAGACACTATTTAGGGATGCTTTGAATTATCTGACTCATTAAAAAACAAAGTAAATCAGCATAATCAAGTTTGTCATTGTAACGACTAGCGACTTACCCTCGATGTAAGTAAATCCTTTACTGGGTTCGCGACTTCCTACGTTCACTACCACCACGATCAATGGTGTTTCCTACAGTTGGTGCAACATTCATACACCAGTCAGCTGTTCCACTTCCAACTGCGGGTTCATGTGGAGATGTCAAGATTTCCTCTACGTCAGCTCACATGACCCCCAGTGCAACTCGACACCTTTCTTAATGGAGCTGATTGTGGAGTTTGAATAGGTTTGATGCCAGGAGATTGATGTGGGAGAACACTGACACATACTGCTGATAGAGACGGGCTCATCAGTGAGGCTTGCTGTATATACAGACTGACTTGTCCTCATTAAGGAGGTTTACTGTATATACAGGTGGATTTGTTCTGATAATGGAGGCTCAGAGTATATACAGACTGACCTGTCATCATAAAGGAGGTTTACTGTATATACAGGTTGATTTGTTCTGATAATGGAGGCTCACAGTATATACAGACTACCATGTCCTCATTAAGGAGGTTTACTGTATATGCAGGTTGATTTGTTATGATAATGGAGGCTTACAGTATATACAGACTACCATGTCCTCATTAAGGTTTACTGTATATACAGGTTGATTTGTTCTGATAATGGAGGCTCACAGTATATACAGACTGACTTGTCCTTATTAAGGAGGTTTGCTGTATATACAGGTTGAATTGTTCTGATAATGGCAGCTTACTGTACACACAGACTGACAGTTAACCGGGCATACAAATATGACTTCTGCTAATTAGTGAGGGTTAATTTATCTTCACATTGACTTGGTTTAATTCTTCTACTTTTTGCCAACACCTAGCGTCATAACTGTCCAGTTATCCATGTGGTGTTCACCATTATTTGGCTCTCGGTGCCCAATGGAATCTGTTTCAGCAGAAAACTCAGATTGTTCTCTGTTGTTGACATTTTATATTTCATTAGCAAAAAAATCCCAAGATGTATTTAAACCAGAGACCATGTGTCTTTATCAATGGTCTCTGATAAACCTATCGTGATGTGATTCCTTCATTTCACAAGACAATAAAACTGCAACAACACTTCATACCCTTTCCTAGTGTATACACTGTAAATAGTGTCCATTTAAGTATTTTTTCTGTTTTAAATTACAGAAAATGTTCACATTCAGTACATGAATTACGATTAAAGTTTGTATAAAGGAAAGAGTACTGATGAGTTTATCAATGATGTCATTGTTTTCCATGAATGTGTCCTAAGAAGTGTAAATATATAGTGCAGAAATGTTAGAAATAAAACCTATGTGTTAATGATCACAAATGCTAATTATCCTCAAAATGAACCAGTATAGATGAAACTGCGTATTGCATTTCATATTTTGTAAAGAGTGATTCCCAGTGTCGATCGCGACAGCTGAGTGATCAGGTACTGAATAGGATGTGACGTGAAGTATTAACTATTCCTAAATTACTTGTTCACCAGTAGGGGATAACGTGTTGGACATGGATTAGTGGAGGGATTTAATATGGCGTGCTTGAACATGATCATGAAGTGATATTTCCTTGGTAAAAATAAACCCATTCAGTATTAACCACACACATATAGGGTTGGATGTTACTGAAACATTACACATTGATAATAAACATCTTTAGACATCGTTTATTTTGTTTCTAATCAATGGTGTATTCTGAGTACTTCTTAATGCATTAAAATACTTTAGTTTCAAGTTAATTTTGTTTGTTGCTTTTTGTTTGCATGTTCCAGGTAATGACTTACATTATTATGGCAATTGAAACTGATCAAGTTTGTTGATGTACAAGAATATGAATTAATTATATAAAACAGTGATAAAATACCAGGCAAAACAAAGTATACCCTTGGAAATTGAACTTGACCAAAATTTACAAAACATTGAAAACATTACTAGGGTGAAAACAGTTTCTGAACACTGCGTACTTATCACGGTCCTAAAAACAAGATTCTGGTATCTCACAAGTCACCACAGAATAAATCCATTTATTGTTGGTTTCATGTTTAGTCACCATCAAACATGGGTGTGTAAATAGTTAGCGGTGTGTGTGATACACTGTAAAATAAATAGGAACAGTTTATACAATACAGTGTACAATGTAAGTAAATAGTAACGGTTTATATAATACACTCTGCAATATAAAGTAAATAGTAACAGTTTATATAATACAGTGTACAATGTAAGTAAATAGTAACGGTTTAAATAATACACTGTGCAATATAAAGTAAATAGTAACATTTTATACAATACAGTGTACAATGTAAGTAAATAGGAACAGTTTATACAATACAGTGTACAATGTAAGTAAATAGTAACGGTTTATATAATACACTCTGCAATATAAAGTAAATAGTAACAGTTTATACAATACAGTGTACAATGTAAGTAAATAGTAACAGTTTATATAATACACTGTACAATCTAAAGTAAATGTAACGGTTTATATAATACATTCTACAATCTAAGTAAATAGTAACGGTTTATATAATACACTGTACAATCTAAAGTAAATAGTAACAGTTTATATAATACATTCTACAATCTAAATAGTAAGGTATATAAAACACTGTACAATCTAAGTAAATAGTATATATAATACACTGTACAATCTAAGTAAATAGTAACAGTTTATATAATACATTCTACAATCTAAATAGTAATGGTTTATATAATACACTGTACAATCTAAGTAAATATTAACGGTTTATATAATACACTGTACAATCTAAGTAAATAGTAACAGGTTTATATAATACATTCTACAATCTAAATAGTAATGGTTTATATATACACTGTACAATCTAAGTAAATATTAACGGTTTATATAATACACTTCTACAATCTAAGTAAATATTTATGGTTTACATAATACACTGTACAATCTAAGTAAATAGTAACAGTTTATATAACACAGTGTACAAGACGTAAGAGACACTATCAAGTGTAATTACCGTGGAGAAAGTGGAACAGGCTGGTGACAGTCACGGAAACATACACACATGTGTAAGTGATTAGTATAGACTGCTCAACCAGTCACTCTCACCAGCCCTATCACCACTGATTGCGATGTAAACACATCCTATACAAGTTAAACACCAACACAAATAATATTCATTATCTGCTGGCTCTGATCTCTGTTAATATATTGAATGTTAAGAAAGGTTATAAGTCATCTGTCCAACCTCCCACATACATTTTAAGGTCTAGTTGGTATCAACAATAAAACAACCATTACCATGACTGTGTGAGTAAAATGCATAACATTCGCCTCCTAAAAGATTTATCAAAAAGGTCATAAACAAATTTTATGCAAGACTAATCATAAATCTAATATGCAAATCATATCCAATCAGCAATCAGTTGATGGAACCATCTTGATATTACAAAATATACTGTACCGACACCATTCAGGGGCAGGACATTGAATGGAAATGGTTTGTTTACCGTTAAACATAGTATTACACAAATAAAATAAAGAAAATATACACAATATTCCATGCAGCTCAAATAAGCAAGTTTGTTATGTACAGGCACCTAAATTGTGTTAAGTATTTAAGTACGGTTCTCCTCCACATTTTGCAATATTAACTTTTAGGGATGTTTGGTGATATGGAAATTGAGATTTGGTGAAAGCTCTGACCATCATGATACCCCATGACCAGGCTGTGTCGAGAGAGTAAAGACAAGCATCTACTTCCTCCTGTATACACAATGCTTAGTCCACCATTTCTGCAACATGATATCGAGCGTTTGTTTTATCAAATATACTGTAAAAAGATATGCAATGCTGAAACAGTTGTGTTCCTTTAAACTCTTATGTCATATGCATAATTACTGAGATACTTCATCTCAAAATATATTATAAAATTATTTACCTTCTTCAAAGACTTAACAGAAATGAATAAAATGTTATTTTCATGATTTTTGCTACATTTGTTTTTGTTTTTATTTACCTCATTACAGTACAGTTTTCCTGACTCCGTTACGATGTATGAATTACAGCACAGATGTCTGAAGCACTGTGTGACTAGCAGGTGCAACA